GTTCCTCTCCTTGTCCAATGCCACCTTCATCAATCAGGTCCTTCAGAGTTGCTTTCTTGAGTTGAGGTAGTGAATTTGCAAAGATCTGTGGCTTTGCCACAGGATGCATGCTCACACGGGGTGACATCCACGGCGTGGCCTGGTTATGAGGGGTTGCATTCTCCCCCCTCACTGATTGGATGACTTTATTAAATACACCTCATGACTGTTTGCTTTCTTTCCTTAGCCATTTTGGGTGCGACTCTTCTTTTGGAAGCAAGTGGCAGAGAAAATCCCATTACAGCCAAAACATTTCCGGATTTTGAATCCAGTCATTATCAAAGAGACCGCCTTTGACATCCTGCAATATTCAGAGCCTCAGTCAAGGTTCTGGGGCCGAGATAAGGTATTTTTGTGCTACTGAAAGTTAACTGTTCTCTACTTTGGAGGGGTGACATCTGTACAAATTTCACTTAGGCTCAGTGTATACCCAGAAGCACCTTCCAGTGGAGAAACTTACATTGTGATTAGATGCTCCGTGCATGTTCACTGCTCTGCATTTTGACTTCAGGTCCTCACTGTTTAATTGGCCTTCCCCCTGGCAACTCATCTTTTTAGAGTAGTCAGCACATTAACCCTTAGGTCTCTGAGATATTATTTAAGGTATGCTTACTCCGGGACTCCATATAACTAATTGCAGGACACTGAAAGGCACTGTGGTGACCTGGAAAGTTCTTTACATTTTAACTCTGTGGGCCGCTTAGGTGAGAATTGACGTTTATCATCACTTTATAGGTAGTGGTCAATGAAATCAGCCCCCAGAGTAGTGCTTTTCTGTTGATGTCTGGGTCCCACCCAAACATTCTGATTTAATTGGCCTGTGCTGTGGTCTACAAAATTTGGATTTTCAGAGTTCCCCGTGTGATTTTATTTTGTAGCCTAATTTGAGAATCTCAGCTATGTGCTGTTCACTGCAGTTGATTCTTTACCTTCAGTTAGCCTGTGCTGCCACCAGGGGGTGGAGAGTCCTTTAGTGCCCATTTTTTCATCATATGAATAGCTAGACCTGTATCTTTAAACGTTGTTTTTAGCAGGAAATCATTCTTAAACAAAATTTTGAGCAAAACCTGTATATGTAAAGGAAAACAAGGAATTTTGAAATGTGGGGGCTGCAGCTCACACTGAGGGCCTAAGATATTTCCTAGGAGGAGGTGCCTGGTCAGGGTTACAATTTGCAAACACTGGGCTAGACTCTTAAGTGTAGTGAACCAATAGGCAGATTAGCAGGTTCTTCTATTTTCCATATGAATCAAATTCTAATTATAAATATTCTTGAAAAACAACTGTGTAAATTTTAAAGGAAGAATTCTGTGGCTATTGAGGAAAACAAACACCTAATATGCTCTTTGAAAACAAAACCTAGTTCTTTACCATGATCAGTGACGGCTAAATTGAGCTCCAGCTTCAGCGTCAGGCTTGCCTACCCAGCTCACCTGAGAGTTTCACTGTGTTGAAGCTCATCTCCTAGCAGGCCGCCATTTTCCTCAGGTGCTGTGCCCCCTTGGGTACTTTCCTGCCTCTCCATCCATAGGCCATGTATATACATAGGCCATCCAAACCCACAGGCCATGTAGTTCCTGCCCACTGAACATGGACTTACAACTTTTAGATTTTTTATTGGGTAATTGGGGAAGGGAACAGTGTTGGGTAATTGGGGAAGGGAACACTGTGTTTTTCCAGGACCCATCAGCTCCAAGTCAAGTTGTTGTCCTTCAATCTTAGTTGTGAAGGGCGCAAGCTCAGCTCCAAGTCCAGTTGCCGCTTTCAATCTAGTTGCGGGGGGCACAGCTCACCATCCCATGTGGGAGTCCAACCAGCAACCTTATTGCTAAGAGTACACGCTCTCACCAGCTGAGCCATCGGCCGCCTGTTGGCAGCTCAGCAGCAGCTCAGCTCGGGCGCAGCTCACTGGCCCATGTGGAAATCAAACTGGTGACCCTGTTGCTCAGAGCTCGCTCTCTAACCAACTGAGCCACCCAGCCGGCCCTGGACTTACAACATTTAATCTGTTAGCATGACTCTTAACAAAACAGTTTTAAAAAAAGGCTTAAACAGACTTTAGCAAGATGCTTAAACTAAGCTATAAAGAGGTTTTATTCTAAATACGTTTAGGTATCTTTCAATATTTTTAGATTTCTGTATCTTCTAAACTGCCCTATGTCTTTATTAAATTTCGTAGTATTTTTTTAAACACAGAAATATGCTCATTTATCTGTAGATTTTATTTAAAAAATAACCTTTAAAAAATGGAGAGACTTGATTACATAAAATATGAAGTTGCTGAATGGCAAAAGCTATCAGAAACAGAAGTTAGAACATAAAATAAATGGGAGGAAATGTAGCATATCTATAACAGTAAATACTCTCAAAGTACAAGAAGAAAACACCTTTTAGCTTGCTGCAAGAACTGCCAAGCTCCTCTTGGTGATGTGTCAAAAGTATTCACATCACAGACCATGTTTTCGAGTCTAGAATCCTGACTTGGATGGGAAGTCACTCTAGAATTCTGTGACATATAAAACTGTCTGATGTTTAAAATTGCAGCCCCCAGTGCAGCCTTTATTATTTGTCATAGCATGTGTACTATGTGGAAAGCAGTAACTTGTGCTAAGACTCTTTTGTCCCTTCTCTTTTTCAGAACGTCCCCACAATTGGTGTCATTGCCGTTGTCTTAGCCACACATCTATGTGATGAAGTCAGTTTGGCAGGCTTTGGATATGACCTCAATCAACCCAAAACACCTTTGCATTACTTTGACAATCTCTGCATGGCTGCCATGAACTTTCAGACCATGCATAACGTGACAACGGAGACCAGGTTGCTCCTAAAGCTGGTCAAAGAGGGTGTGGTGAAGGACCTCAGCGGAGGCATCCATTGTGAGTTTTGAACACGGAAAACCTCACTTGAAAATGCAACTCTGACTCTGAGGGCTGTTTTTCATGGCCTTCGTGATACATTTCATCCTGCAAATACTTTGAAGTGCAGCTAGTGTTTTTAAGTTTTAATTTAAAAAACAAAAAAAAAACAGTTTAGTTCTTCCCACTTTTTTCCCCTATTTATTTGAGGTCAGTGTTTTTTTTTGCACAAAATTTTGTAAATTAATTGGAAAGACTTTTCGAAGAGAATTGTATGTCATGATGTTTTATTGTATTTTAAGAGAGTTATTTAATTTGTAAAAACTCTGCCCATGTCTAGTGCACATAGAGCTCCAGGTAATTAAGTAGAAGAAGGGAAGTCAGAATGCTGCATCCTGGTCCTGGTCCTCTGTGTGGTGGGAGAGATGTCGGAGGTACTTCCAGGATGACGTGCTCATTTGCAAAACTGCAGGTACTGGTTCAGCCAAGCTGCAGTGAGGCCTGAGCTGGTTGGAGAAGTTTATGGTCCTTCTCCGCTGGTCTGCCTCCTGCCAGAATTCTTGCAGGAATCAAGCAGGGGAACTGTCCTGGAGGTCTCTGGTCCGGGTGAGGCACCGAAGATGTTTCCCGTGTCCTCTCAGTACTGCTAATTGCCCTGGGTTGCAGAAGCCACTGTCTTCCCTGCAAGTATGACAACTCTTGAATTTCTTGAGAGTTTTTTACTGCCCTTCCAAAGCACTTAAATGTTAATCTAAGGTGTCTACTGTCTGTCAGAGGTGGCTTAAAAAAATTAGGACAAAACCTCTGTTATGCAGTCGTGAAAGTATAAACTCTTTCCAAGAATAACCACGTTTTCTGAAACACTGAAATGAAACCCTCCCAGTGTTATAAATTACATACTTAAAAAAACCTTTTTTTTTTAATTGCTGCCTGGCAGTATGTACCAGGCAGTGTGCTGGTCAAAAAAAAAAAAAAAAAAAAAAAGAATAAAAGTTTTTGAGGAGCTCTCACAGTATTGTTAATTTGAGTGCTTTTCTTCTTTTTTATTTTTTTCCCCTAAGAAAATAAGTTTATAAGTCTACCTGAAATGTCCTTGAATGCTGCTAGATGAAGACCTCACTGTAGATGCCAGCAGTGAGGGACTGAGAATGAAAGCTGCATTGTCTCGTAAGGGGCTTCTTCCCAGACAGCTGTGAACTCTGCTGGAGAGACGTTGGGTGCTGGTGGCTTCTTCCCAGCGAACAGGCTTGTTCTAGCTTCTGTCTCTTAATTGCTCTCAACTTTGCTGTCAGCTGCGTCTCTGTGTTGCTCCTGCTGCTGCCCCTCCCTCAATTTTCATTTCTCTTAACTGTTTCTGCAGCCCCAGTGCAGTTCTAACTCCCAGCCCATTTTGTCTTCCATGCCTGCCGCCACCTCCACACATGCAGGTCAGGGAACCAGGTCATAGCATTCAAACAGAGTCCCTTGGATCTCCAGGGCTCTGGGGTCAAGCTCAGAGTGGCCAACCTAACAAAATAATATTTTTCTGGTTTTGTGTCTTAACATTTTCTATGGATTTTGCTTTCTGCTTTATAAGCTACTGTCTAAGAGAAAATGCTTTAAAAATTCTCTCCAGTTAAATGACTGAGTTTTAAAGATTGAGACTCACTCAGGAAGATGGTCCAGCACTGTCTTGTGACTAAGGTAAGGCCAGGCCTTTACCACACACCTCCAGTCGCTCCCTCGTCCTTCAGGGGCTGCTGGAAGCCTGCATTTTTTTCAAAAAAAAAAAAAACACCAGGGTTTGGAACTTCCTCAGACAACTTTCCCAATGTTGTGAGCACCCCCTCATGGGTTCCTGGGGACTCATGTCCTTGCAAGGCTGCTCAGAAATGTGTAACTCATGCCCAGCACGTGGTTAGCTTTCAGTGAACGTCAGGCCTCATCCATCCCTGCCCCTCCTTATCTGCATGTTCTTTTCTGCATCCTTACATTGCTTTACCCATGACTCTCAACTTTTCATTACTAGTAGGCAGCAAGTGCCCTAAATGAATAAAAAGGCATATTTTTTTTAAAGACCTTTTATGGAGTCCCTTAGCCAGTTGGAGTTGATCAGAGGCCTCCTTCAAGAGCCTTAGCACTTTGGTGGTTATTTATCAGAAATTTCTTCTTTGCTTCAGAGTTGCTCCTCCCTTACTCCCACTCCCACCCCACCCACACTCACTTTTGTGGAAACAGACTTCAGGTACTTCAGGCCGTCACGAGATTGATCTCCAGCAGCTGAGGTTTTGGCCATCACTCTTCCAATTTTCTGTAGCTTTGTAAGCACACTACACATCCCTCTCAGATGGCTATAATCATTGGTTTTGAGGCAACCTAGGATGACTTATACATGTTACATATTTTAACATGCTTCTTACTGGAACTTTGAGCCACAGAAAATATCAGGGAACTTGAGGGGTTTTTTGTTGTTTTTTTTTTTCATTTTGTTTTTTATCTCCTTCAGAGAGTGTATTCTCTCCAGAAACCTAGTCTGGCTTTAGAAAAATGCTTTGGGCCTGAGATGGGTACCTCCTGGTGATATGTCTCATGTTTTTAGGCAAAGCTAAATTGGGATCTAGACATCTTTATGTATTCTAGGTGTTACCTTGCCTGCTTCACTGCCCCTTTTTTGTCACTCTGTTTTGTTTTGTTTTGTTTTCATTTCCAAGAATGTATTAATAAGGCATTGACAATGTCTGTTTCCACAGACTTGGGAGGAGAGGGTCTCATCATTTGTTGGACCCATTGGTTAAAATAAGCTGTCAAACCCACTTTTTGCCTAAACTGCTTGTGTTGAACCCCTTGGCCATCAGCTGTCAGTCCGGTTTGTGTGGCAGCAGCTTAGTTGTAAAAGAAAAAGTAGTGGTCACACCCTAGTCTCCCCAGGTTATTAAAGATTTCTAAAAACAACGACCACTTCGTTTTAGCTACATTCTAACCCCAGTGCTTTGGGACTTGATATCAAAATGATTCTGGAATTTGCCTAATTAGTGGCTCAAGAGAACGTTTCAGACCAGTGTTGGAGGAAGATTAAGAAATGGTGACCTAGTCTCCCCCTTGGCAGGTTTACAGCATCTAAATATAGGTTATTTTTTCATCTTTTCTTTTGGACACTTCACTTAAGCCCATTTAAAAAGAAAAGGAACAGTACCTGTGATGTAGCAGAATTCACCTCAGAATAAAGTGAGCTTTTAGTATGCTTGAGCAACAAGCAAGAACCATGTGACACCCAGGCCTTCTATTCACGCACATGGTAACAAAACTCCCTCAAACAAAGGACCCTGTGTTCGCTGCCCGTACAACCAATGCCCTCTTCCCAGGCACTGACCTTCCATGAAGGCACCCCAGAGGACCACACACTCAGCTCTCAGACCAGAACAGACAAAGAAAACAAATCCAGGGCACAGAGCACACCCAAAAACAGGTCCCCCTGCCCTTTCCCTGGAGGTCGGTACACCCTGGCCCAACCTTATGTGTCTATTCTCTCCTTTCCCACTTCCCAAGATCATTTTAGACAGCAGGGATTTGTATTCTCACAACACAAGTATTTATCTGTATTTAGCTATGTAAAGACTGAAGTAAATTGGGAAGGAGAACTATTCATTAAACATGCACACTCAAGTTGTATTGACTAGAAATTAATGTTCCCCAAAAGGAAATTGCAGCCTTAGTAGTTTGACTTTCATTATCAGAATGTTTAGATTTGACTAATTTCCAATATTAAATTTCAACCCATTTAGCAAGAAAGAAAACATCCATATTAGCAGGCTATGTTGCAACAAGAGTAAATAACATGCTATGAAATTTAGTTATTTTTTATTTATTTAATTGGGGAACAGTGTGTTTTTCGAGGACCCATCAGCTCCAAGTCAAGTAGTTGTTTCAATCTAGTTGTGGAGGGCGCAGCTCAGTGGCCCATGTGGGAATCGAACTGGCAACCTTGGTGTTATGAGTCTGCTCTCCAACCAGCTGAGCTAACCGGCCGCCCTGAAACTTAGTCCTTTTTTAAAAGCAGGTTTTTCTAGTGAGCTGCTTCAACAAAGCATGTAGGAAGGAAGGTGCGACTTGAGATGTCAGGTATTGCATTAGTGTCAGCCTGCCATCCAATATTTGGCATATGTAGCCGTTACAGGCTTTGCGAAGCTGGAAATGTAGCAAAGTGGATTTTCAGAAAATGTAGACGTTAAGAAGCTAACTATTTTGTAGATAACCCATAGCAGCAATACTAATAACTATACACTAAAAATTTGTAACTTCTAAAAGAGCAATATATTTCCACTGTATGCTGTGTTACCTGGCCTATGATTTTTGACTTATCAAAGAAAATCAGATCAGTTCTAAGAAAAATCGATATTAAAACTGATGAGTTTATTTAAAATGTTGGTTAGATCCTTGATTTGAATGACCGCTCTAAATTACCAGACAGTAATATGGATGTGACAGATGACTAAGGACAAAGCGTGAACAGTGAGGGCCATTTAAGGGCAATTAAGAACAATAGTCAAATACAAAATAGTTACCCATAACATATCAAGATATCCTATCAGGCAAGCTCATTTGGGGTGGGAAGAAATTGACCATCAGCCCTAAAGCAATGAGAATTTGAGATTACATCTGTAACTAAGTGACAGAATTTTATACTTTATTCCATCTATAGACTTATTAACAAGACCTTGACTACGAGTATTGCCNGCTTTCTGATAGGTTGACAGTTAATGTCAGAGGACACCAAGGTTTCTAGCCTGGGGTTCTAAGACAATAGTGGAACCGCTATCAGAAATGGAGCAGTTGAGGAAAATCTCTGGTTAGTGAGGGAGGGTGACAAGATCCATTTCTGATATTTTGAGCTAAAAGTGATGATATGTTCACATAATGCCTTTGTCCCAGTGGCTGAGATCTCAGGCAAGTGTCCTAATTGCCCTGTGTCTCTTGTTTCCTTGTCTGTCAATGGAGGCAGTACTAGCACACACCTTACAGAGTTACTGTGAAAATAAAATGAGTTAACAGACTTAAAGCACTTAGAATAGTGTTAGCTTGTAGTAAATGCTCAGTAAATGTTAGCAGCTGTTTTTGGAGAATGTGTAGGAAGGTGGGGGCTAAGGAGGAGAAGGCATAGGGTATAAGGTGTTTGTAGGAAAGAAGCAGATTTTTATAAGGGCTAAGAGATGGAAGAAACAGCTAAGAATTGAGTTTTAAGACAACAGGGGTACCATAATCCCCAGTGACTGGAAAGCAGGAGTGATGGGAAGTGGGGGTATAAAGGTTGGGGTGAAGGCAGATATAATTGCTGCCTTTCACTGGCTGCCGTCTCTGTGACAGTGCGTGCCGTGTACTTTAGAAGTCCTCATTCCTCGGTGAAGTCTTCACTGTTGGCCAGTGTCATAGATGAGGACACCATAGGGCCCAGGGCCCAGGCCAGACCCCAACATTACAAATGCAGGGTTCTGAGGCTTCCAGAACCTCAACCCTGGCCTCTGTGAGCAGCTGAATGGTCTTCTATGCATAGACAACACTGGGGGAGGCAGGCTGGACCCCATGCCCATCTAATGGTGCATGACGGGAGATGGGAGGAGAAGTGAGAAATCGGTGCCAACGGCGTGCATTCTGGGCCAGAGGAGAGATGAAGAGAAGGGCGGCCTTGAGAAGAACTGGGATTTGGCTCTTCAGGGAGGAGGAGATCTGGGTGAGGAGCTTCACCTGGCAGGAGGGCGGGGTCCTGGGAGAGCAGGAAAGGGCTGGGAAGGTGCCCCGTCCAGGCAGGTGCAAGACTGAGGGACGTGGACTTCGTGTGTAGGCACTGGGAGGCCAGTGAGCACTGGGGACAGAGAAAGGATGACTTACTGTGTTGATGAGGGAGATCTGTTAAGAAGTTTTTTTGGGGTAACTTTCAGACTTAAAGTGATTCCAAACTTAACAAAAGCTGCAAAAATAGTACAAAGAACTCCCATTCACTCTTTTCCAAGATTCCCCAATTGATAATGCTTTACCACATTGGCTTTATCATTTTCTCTCTCTATATGTACTATTACTTTCTGAACCCTGTCAGAACTAGTTGCAAATATCTAGCTCCTTTATCCCTAAATACTTCAGTGTTGTTTCCTAAGAATCAGGACATTCCATTACACAACCACAGAAAATATTTAGGATTAGGAAATGAGCACTGATACAGTAGACCTTATCTACAGTCTTTATTCAAATTTCGTTATTCCTAATAATGTCCTGAGCCCATTGCCCCCCCTTGGTCCGACCCTGTCCATGTAACTGTTGCTTGGGTCTGCCTTGCCCCGGTTTCTAGGTTTTCCTCTCTGATTATCTTTTTGAAATTCTGGCAAGAGCCACTAATATCTGAGCACAATGGGAGGTTTTCAAGGAAACATTGCTAGTGCCCCAAATAGAATATGTTTGTATTGGCTTAAAATGACAGGACTGGAGAGAATTGCTCGACATTCAGAGATTAGATTTGGGCGTCCCTAGCTGACTGAAAGCTGCATTCACCGAGCACCTGGAGAGGGCAAAACTGGGAGGAGTGATGACCGGGCTAGTGGGAGGACACCCCCCCCCCCAAATGACATACTCATTCCCAGTCCTAAAAAAAGTGTGGAGAACACAATGAGGGGTTGTTGGGGTTTTTTTGTTTTGTTTGTTTGTTTGTTTTTGTTATGTGATAAGATAGTTGATGGCTTGCTTTGTCAATTTATTTTGTCCTTTTTATTTAAATAGGTTAAACAGTGCACCGGTTGAGGGGTATT